AAGTAGTCCTTAGGATCTCTGCATTTTGCCCTTTCTTTGTCCCTTGCAACTTGCTAAAGGTTATTATCTTCAAATACCACTCAACAATAATTGTGTGTGGATGTTAAAGAGTGCTGCCCCCCAAAAAAATCCAAAAAATTAAATATGAAAACTTGGGAAAGAGACTTGGGCATGTTTCCTGCTATGAAGGAGCTGATGTCCAGTCACTCATTAATAATGTCCAGTCACACATGCCTATTTCTGAAGTAAGTCTCTTTGTGTTTAATGGGGCTTTCTTCCAGATAAGTAGATACAGGATTGGCATTAAGGAAAACAGAGTTCTTGTCCCATTTAGAGCTGTATCTTCACAACTTTCTATAGTTAGTATGGGGTTAACCAGGGGCAGGAACAATGAAACAGCAGTGGCTGTACTCTCTCTAACGTTATGCCATGCTGCCCACAGCAGCCATTTTGTCTTACACCATGTCCCCTCCATGGCAGCCATTTTGTGACTGGAACCCTCGGCACTCTCAATATTGCCCTCTGGTCCAAAAAAGTTTGGCAACCCGCTGCTGCATCATGCCATTTTCAACAGTCATGGCTTCCCCCAAAGGACCCTGGGAACTGTAGTGCAGAGAGTTGCTAGGAAACTCCCTATTCCTTTCACAGAGCTACAATGCCCAGAGCATGCAAACAGTCAAGCCCTCTTCCCAGAGAACTCTGAGTTCCTCTGAGCATACTCCACTCTTGCCCATGGCTGGCACTGTTTCTGCTCCATGTGGAGAAGCACTAAACTAAACTCACTGTTATGCTAGATAATGAAGTGCCCTGACACGATACCTGCGCAGTAGTTAGCAATGGATGAAATCATACAGTCGGGAATCTCCTTCTTTGTGATGCGGCTTAAAAGGTTCTGTCCGCACAGTAAGGCAAAGCAGGTAAAAATGAGGGCTATTATCATAAGGCCTCGGACAGCCTCCAGACTCTCTAGAAAAAAAGAAAGAAAAACAGTCCCATTGCAAGTGCATTCGTGGCATTATGCCAGTGCTTCTAAGAACGGATTTGCAGTGCATTCCTAGTCAGTGTATATATGAATGGGAGGTCCACATGCAACCAGGGTGGCAACTGCATGTTTAGTTAATGTAGTGCCAGGGAACAGGTGGTGCAGGTGGTGCTCCTGTGTCAATTTAACTGTTATTCTTAGGTACATGCTTTGATAGATGTATAGCCAGCATAATGTATTGGCCTGGCCAGCCACAGAGAAAAGGAGCATGAAAAAGAAGGGAGTGAAAGAGTTCACTTCAAAGATGAACTTTGTCTCAACTCTGTGTGAGACCCTCCCTGCCCGCAGACTGTCTTGCCAGAGTGGTGCATGCTCTGGTTATCTCCCACTTGGACTACTGCAATGCGCTCTACGTGGGGCTACCTTTGAAGGTGACCTGGAAACTGCAACTAATCCAGAACGCGGCAGCTAGACTGGTGACTGGGAGTGGCTGCCGAGAACATATAACACCAGTCCTGAAAGACCTACATTGGATCCCAGTACGTTTCTGAGCACAATTCAAAGTGTTGGTGCTGACCTTTAAAGCCCTAAACGGCCTCGGCCCAGTATACCTGAAAGAGCGTCTCCACCCCCATCACTGAGGCCCACGGCCGAGGGCCTTCTGGCGGTTCCCTCACTGTGAGATGTGAGGTTACAGGGAACCAGGCAGAGGGCCTTCTTGGTGGTGGCGCCCGCCCAGTGGAACACCCTCCCTTCGGATGTCAAGGAAATAAACAACTATCTGACTTTTAGAAGACATCTGAAGGCAGCCCTGATTAGGGAAGTTTTTAATATTTAAAGTTTTATTCTGTTGGGAGCTGCCAGTGGAAACTCAGCCAGATGGGCGGGGTATAAATAATAAATTATTATTGTTATCATGAACACCTGTATCAGAAATGATGTAATCTTGGCACAGAGCCCCTACAGCCTATGTACAGGCCCTTTGCCAAGATTACAGCTCCAGCAATTCAATGAGACTTTAGCCACGGGGTTTCCGGGGGCTCTGCCCTGGCACATCAGACTGGCCTGTGCCAGGGGTGCCATTGTAATTGGGGTCTCTCACAGCAGGAATGGTGGGTGGCTGAGCTAGCTTCACAGCTTACCTTTAAGTATTCTTTTGTGTCCTTTAGTTATCTTTGCTTTGTATACTAGCACCTGTTGCTGTTTCTACACTTAGTATTATAGTAGTTAATAAAGTTTGCTTCTGCTCCTTAAGTGTTTGTTGCCCTCCATTTACTGATAATCCAAGGGACCTGATACTGCTTAGTGGTAGCTTCTGACCGAGGTAATTATTGAGCAGGCAGGACAGTTAAATACAAGGTGTTCATGTGAGCTGTGTTGGCAACTGCATATCCAAGTCCTCCAAACCACTGAGATTGCAGTACAGAGTGGATGATTCCAGGCAGCCCAGAAGCAGGGCATGAGGGCGATAGCGTCTTCCCATTGTTGGCCCTCTCTTATAGAGGAAAATGGCCAGTAAAGGTTCAATATCAGCAGTGAGCAGAAAGCAGATAAAATCTATCAGAAGCAGAACTCAGAGATTTTGAACAAACCAACAAGGATTTCTGGCTCTGCATTGTTTAATAATGGGGAAAAGGGACATTTGTGTATGCATTGTACATTCATTCTTATAACAAATTAGAACTCTGTTTGCTTTGGTAGGAAAGCTGGGGGACAAACCAAGGATATTGCTGAAATCTAAGAGGTGGGGGGGGGGTTTGGCTTGGAATCCAAACCAGCCACAGCTTCATCTCTGACGTCTAATAGTAACAGTGAACTACAGTGCAAGGCTGCTGTATAATTTATGTATTTAATCATATGAAGAAGAAGTTTACGTTAAATAATATAAAACATAAGAAAACAACCCCTAAAATCAACAGAGTTTAAAAAGCAAGAAGACATAACAACATCACCAAAATTTAGATGAAACCAACAGTTTTACAAACAAATGTGCAAAACAAAAAAAAATAGCATGTTCCTTTAGGCTTGTCTAAACAAAAAAGTTTTTAGCAAGTGTTGAAAACAACGGGCCGGTTTTTCACTAACTTTTACTCATAGTAGACCCATTAAAAGTAATGGACCTAAGTTAGCTATGGTCTTTAATTTCAGTGAGCCTACTCTGAGTAAACATGAATTGGCTACAACCAAGGTGTTGGCCTAATATTAATTCCAGAACATAGATGCTGCCACACTATGACTCCATCTGCCCTGTACATTTAAAGCAATATCATACCACTTTAAACAGCTATGTCTTCCTCCAAAGAATCGTGGGGACTGCAGTTTGTTAAGGGAGCTGAGAGTTATTGGAAGACCTCTATCTCCCTCTGCCCCAGAGCTACAATTCTCAAAGGGGTTTAACAGTCAACTTCTCTCCCCAGGAAACTCTGGAAATTGTGGAGACTCTTAGCAACTCTCAGCATACTTAACACACTATAGTTGCCAAAATTATGTGTGGGAAGCCATGATTGTTTAAAGTGGTCTTATATTGCTTTGAATGTATAGCTGAGGTCTGAAAAAAATGCTACTTCTGCAGACAAAAGCTACTGAGTGGGTACCTAAGGGGTAAGACCGTCATTCAAGTCAACTCGTCCTAGCCTCCACTGCATGGAAATAAAACTCCTACCCAGAAGTCCGTTTGGCCCATGACCCTTAACCCAAGAAAGAACAGTAAACCAGTTGTGCCTCCTAACCGATGCTGTACGGGTGTGGTTTACAGTCCTTCTCAAAGCAAAAAAGCCACAACCCCAAATGAACATTGGATTTCACACAGTGATGGACCAGCCAGTTGGGAGATGCTATGCAGATGATGAGCAAGACGATATTGACGCAGCACATGACGCTGTATGTTTTTCTGACAAAAGGCATTGGCCGGACTTTGGCAAGGATCTGCAGAAAGAGGAAAGGCCAACATTCAGAAGCCCTAAGAATGATACTTGGACTCTAGGTATGAGGGGTGTGCTGGAGGGAATCATTTGCCAGCTTGGTGGTCTGTTCTACCCCAACATCATCACGGCCTCCATTTATGTGGCTTCCGGTGATAGGGCATGCCTTGGCTACAACCTGAAAAAACTCAACTAGAAAGAAGTCCTTTTCTATGGTGGTACCCACTCTCTGGGGCCACAGGGGCCAACCAGATGCATGTGGGAAACCCTCTAGCAGGACCAGAGTCCAAGACAATTCTCCCTTCCCGCAGTTTTCAACAACTGGTACCCAGAAACATTGCTGCCTCCAACTGTGAAGGCAAAGCATAGCCATGATGGCTAGAAGCCACTCCTAGCCTTCATGTCCATGAATTTGTCCAATCTTCTTTTAAGGCCATCTAAGTGGGTGGCTATCACTGCCTCCCGTGGAAGTGAGTGCAATGAATTATATGCTGCATGTCAAAGGACTTTATTTTATCTGTTCTGAGTCTCCCAAGAGTCCTCCCCTGTTTCATAATTTTCAAATGTGATGGCCATGGGGTAACCAAAGGAGACGTTTGGGGTACAGAACCTTACAATCCTCTGCCCTTTCCTCCCCAAACTTGCACAACAGCAACAACCAGGTCAGTTGAAACTGCAGCAGGATTAAGAATGAGAAGGCAGATGTGCCACAAGGCAGGTCTGACCAATGAAATAGACCTGAAGCTTCTGTTTTCCATAGGGGCCATGCATTTCCCAGCAACCTTTAGTCAAGCTTTAGCATAGTATTGTCTTCCCAACCATTATGCATCCAGTGACACAAAATGGAACCATCCATTCTTGGCAACCTTCAAGTTTAGACTCGGGGCTAAAGACTGGTCTTGGTCCTCAAGTCCCCAAACAACATCGCCTTGGCTATATATATATAATGCTATATCAAAACAGGGACCAGACTTCCCCTGCAATGTGGAACTCATACCATTGTACCTTAAGTTGGCAAGCATAGAATAACAGAATTGCAGAGCGGAAAGGGACACTGAGTGTCATCTAATTCAACCCTCTGCAGTACAGGAATCTTTTGCCCAACATGGGGCTCGAACCCATCACCTTGAGATTGAGAGTCTCACGCTCTACCAACTGAGCTACCCCAGGTCCATCATAGGTTTAGCAGAGCCCTCCATGGAAAACTCAATTTTTTTCCTGCTGATTATTTGTGCCTGATCATCTGTTGCCTTTTTAAATGCATATCTAAGGTTCTCAGTCATCCCTTCTTTCAACTGAGTATTTTACCTTCCCTTGAATATCCCTCCCTTGGAGGAATATTTGGGGGAGGTTCTTTAAAATGTTTTCAATATTGTTTACAGTCATTTTGGCAAATCATATTGCGAGTTGTCTTGGGCCCTACTGTGTGGGGTAGAGAAGAGTACTATTTATATTTCTATTCTATTATTTCTATTATTGATATTCTTCTTCTGGATATGTCTAATTTCCTTGTGGCTTAGGGCCTCAGTAAGTGGAGAAAGGGAGGCACAAGGGCCATCACTCTTGCTTTTGGACTCACCATAATTCAACTTGAAACATGAAAGGTTTGGCCACCCAACATTCCAGGCATGCACCATACCCTCTTCTTTGTTGTTGCTCCTCTCTGTTGCAACCCAAACAAAAAACAACAGAATGGCCACTCAGCTTCTGAGAGTCTTGCTTTTCAACTGTCATGGAATTTTCCCTCCTTCCATGAACAGAGGGTTGTCTCCAACTAAGTTCTACTCAGAATAGACTGGTTGAAATGAATGGACTTAGTCAGGCCCATTCATTTTAATGGGTCTTTTCTAAGTAGTCAGGGTTCATAAATTCCAAATATTTCTCAAAGTGATATCAAAATGATATTTGAGAATCATTTGAAAAGAGGTCTGTACCCTAATCTCCTGTATAAGGAGGCATCTAGCTCCCAATTTTCTTTGCCTGGGTTGCAGATATGTCTGTTTAATGCAGGAAACATGATCCATTAAGAATTTAATTTGACCAAATTTGTATTACTGGCTTTTGGTGAAAAGCTAGGTTGTCAAGTTCTTGTCTGAATGTTGATATTTTGATCTATTTAAAGTTTAAGATTTATAAGGCCGCTTATTTTATTTTATTTATTTTATTGCATTTTTCTTTTTTTAAAAAATACGATAGCATACATTAAACATTACATTTGGGGGTGGGGATAAACAAGTATACCAAATTATTCAAAGGATACAAACAGTGATTTGATTTATCTATACGCCAAGTTCCCAGAAAGAAATTACATTTGTACTCCTTTTCTTTCTTTGCAGTCACCTTTCTGTTCCGGAAAACTATTTAAAATCCCTTCTATGTTAGTTGACTTCCCTCTATCTCTTTGCGGTTTCAATACTTTCCTTAGGTAGTAAGTGTTCTGAATTCATTTATTAATCTCAGTTTTTCCTGTATATCTGTGAAATTAATCTAAGCACAACCAAGTATTATTTTTGGAACCATATTTTATCAGGTAGTTTTTGAAGCAATCCCCTTTTTTTTTTACCTTTTCATCTGAGTGGTTTCTTACTAGTTCTGTCATTTTGGCTAGTTCGAAGTACTCGCACAACTCTAATTGCCACTCATCTTTTGTTGGTATTAACTCACTTTTCCAGTATTTCACAATTAGCACTATATACAAACTAATACAAACCTAAATAAGAGATCAAACAGAGGGAAAATCAATATATCAATGATAAAATTAATATAAAAGATGTTATGCACAATTACAGGCAAAAAGCAAGGAGATAAAGATATGGGAAAAGCGCAGAGAGATTTGATATTCCTGAAAAGAGAATTTTTTGAACATTGTAATAAAAATTCCAAATTGCTGGCTAGAGCTGTGTAGTCAAAAAAAGTAAAGAATTTAATTAGCCTAATAAAAGATAAAAGAGGTAATATTCACAATTTGATGAAAGATAAGTCGAGAGTATTTCAGGAGTTTTACCAAGAGTTATATTCAGCAGGTAACAATTCTACGGAAAAGAATTTATTGAGAGACACTGGAAGAAAAAGCTAAAAATAGGGATAGGTTATGAAACAACCAACTTCAGGAAAAGAAATAGAGGAAGTTATAGGGAAACTAAAAGGAGAGAAACCCCAAGAGCAGATGGATTGGGAATGGAATGTTAAAGTATTAAAAAATATATTAGTTCCTAAATTAAAAGCATTATATAATTCAGTATCAGAGGGTGAGAGGACCCCTCCATCATGGGAACAATCAATAATTATCTTAATTCCAAAACCAGGAAAAGAGTTGAAGGACCCAGGATCGTATTGGCAGATTTCCCTAATGAATCAATATGCTAAAATATTGACCACAATAATGGCAAAAAGGATGAATAATTTTATGTATAAATATATAAATAAAAATCAATGTGGCTTTGTAGCAGGAAGACAGATGTCTAGTTTAATAGTTGAAAAAATAGATATAAAAGATGAAATAAATAGAAAGCTGCTTTGTTGTTATTTAGTCGTTTAGTTGTGTCCGACTCTTCATGACCCCATGGACCAGAGCATTCCAGGCAAGCTGCTATAGTAGCATATTTTTAAGGCATTTGATTGTGTAGAATGGCCAGCATTAAAAAGGATTATTGAAAATGAAATTAGAAGATCAATCGATATGTGTGTTTCAATGCCACAGTTTGGAATTTAGAGATAGTTGAGGTATTCTATGCACAGTGGGTAGAATCTGCCAGGGATGTGTTCAAAGGCAAACTGGTTGCTTGAGCAAAGTGGTTGCTAATGGGTTACAGCTGCTTCAAAACCCACACTTTAGATATCACATGCATATTTCGGGTGAACGCTGGACAGTGGGACCAAGGTGCCTTTGTTGGGTTTACAGCCAATCTCTCCCAGGAAGGAGGGAGTTGGTTCTTCTACTTCCATTGTTGGAAGCCACAGTTTGTGGCTGTCTTACAAGCCTGGGGGTCTGGGGAAATGCTTCCCTAGCAGTGCTGTATAAAATCTTCAACTGCCTGTAGTTTCTTTATTAAATTTATTTTGGTTTGCAGTTCCTCCAGGAGGTGGATATAAGGCCAACTTAAGGCCTACATTACTCCTCACAAGGCAGGCTCACATCAGGATTAAAAATCTTAGAGTACATTTTTCACATATGATTTGTTTTCCCCTATGCAATTCATGGTTCTTAAATTATCATTTATAAAGATGCCCTACTGAAATCCCCCCCTTTTTTTGTCTTGCCTCATTTCCATTCTCCTAATGCGATGGATATAGAAACATACAATGTGCTCCTCGAGACATTATTGTTTTCATGCAGCAGGGCTACTGAAAGTCTTTCATTTTATTGATATTCTCATTTTAAGGATGATGGGTTTTTATTGGAAAACAGGGTATATTTAACATGAGCCATTGCCTTTGTCTTTGCTTTTGTTTTATGTGGTGTCTAACTTGGTTCAAAAGAGCATATATATTTTTATCATCTTCCAGGCCCTAGAAAAAAGCACTGCTGAGGTGGCAAAGCTAGACATTGTCCAGGGTTATTGACAGGTCCCAGGGACAAAGTGATATTCAGTGAATATTGTGCAATGATTCGAAAGGGATTACCAAGAGCTGAGGAAATCAGGTTCGGTAGTTTCATTCCTCCTTGTTCCAATTGCATCACATTGTTGGGAAAGAGTGGAGATACTTTGGGTCATCTGATATGCTTGCCTTCAGCCACGTTGTCTTCAATTGAACTAAGCTTGTTCTTTACACATAACAACCTCATCTAAATGTATTCTATTTCTCTATCGTCTGGAAACTTTCCTTATTCTCTGGTACCTGGACCATTTTTTAAGTGTATATTTTATTGATTTTCATAAACGTATAACAATCACTAAACAGCTGCACACAAACGAAGTTTGCCACCTTTTCTGCAATCTCTCCAGCTACCACATAAGTATTCATATTTTTCTATCATTTGTTCTTCTTTTATATTTGCTACAGAATTATCCTACGTTATTTCATCAGCGTTGTATGGAAGCATCCATCCAGAGTGTGGTCATCTTGAACTAAAGAATCAAGAAGGTGACGGCATCCAGATTTGTTCTCATTCTACTGATAACACATTGCTTAGATGCTTTTAGCTAGGATATGAAGTAAATGGCCATAAAATGTCAAAGAATGCACCAGTTGTTTCTTTCCTTATACTTGCCCTGACACACTGAATGGCCGTTCTGACAGTAAGGAAAGCATTGGGAATGCAGAACATGAATGAACTTTGAATTCTCATGTTAAATGTGAGGTTTCTGAGAAACTCACATCTCCATTTGAAGCGGTTGTTCCTAGCTATCGCCTTGAGGCTCATGTGGGCCTCATGCCATGTTAGATATGGAAGACGTGTACTATCTGCCAAAATTACTCTGTGTTTCTGAAAAATATATTATCTGATTACAAACTGTATATATGTATTTAATAACAACAACATTCAAAATTCAGGAGCTTAATTGTAGCAATACCACTGAGGCTAAATGCACTTTATAATAGCTTGATTTGCACATTTAGAAGGTCTTTCAGCTAAACCATCTTGAGTCAATATTTACCAGCATTTTTGGCTTGGTCTTTCTTTCTTCAGCTGCTAGTCCATAAGATATCACAAGGTGCTTCATTGCTTTCAATTCAACAGACCCACACAGCTGCTATTCTGGTAAGAAATACTCAATTATACAAACCTAAATAAGAGAGAACTTGACAATAGCACATCCTGCTATATCTTAACATATGACAATTCACTATTCCTCTATGTTACACTTATGTAGGGAAGTGTTAATTATAAGTTTGAAAAAGCAGAGAAAAAGAAAACATTGTCAGCTACGCAAATACTAGGGTGGTCAAACGGAGCTTCTTTATTTATTCCCCCCAAAATTGTAGTAATGTTTTTTCTAAGGTCAAGCTAAGAAAAACCAAACAAACCCTTTATCTGCTCAGTTTTCCCCTTTCTGCATCCCAGCTACCCAGCAACGCTCTTTTATTTATACATTATTTCCTAAGATTTATACATGACTTGATTGTAAAAGAAGAAGCAGCAGTTACAAGCAGATAAATATGAGGGGGGAAATCAGAATATGCAAGTGTTAAAATACTAAAACAGATTAAAACGGCAACAACTTTCT